AAACTGTGATCACTAAGGTAAACAGTTCTAAGGATAATATGAAGTCCACAAAGCATGTGAAGAGACGTTTGAAGACTGTCAGAAAACTGAGAAACTCCGGAGTAATTGCATTGGACTATGTCCATACATCAAATAATCTGGCAGATCAATTCACTAAGGGTCTGTCACGCAATGTGATAGAAGGTGCGTCGAGGGAACTAGGTTTGAGACCCACATAGAGCAATTAACAGTGGTAACCTATCCTATGTGATCGGAGATCCCGTGAATTAGGATGGCGAAACAAGTTGTTGATTGACTGAGGGAGAGACCCCTTAGATTATAGTTTAGTTCGTTGGAGATGCACCGTCTCTCCAATACTGTTAGGCAGGATGATTAAGTTCTTAATGTGATCCGAGCGGCTTGGTATAGCGGGGATGTTGTCCTACAGAATATCCTATAAGGAACACACCTATATGAGCTCGATTGCTAGTCACAATCTATGAGATGTGGGTAATCTCTAGATGCTCATGAAAAGGCCTCGAAGTATGACTTATATGCTTCAAAACAGAGGGAAGGTACTTGGCATCCTAGTATCAGTTAAGAGGTTATGTGAAACTCATCTCGCGCAAAACTGTCAATTCAAGGTTCTGTCCATTGTTCAGTTGTGGATGAGTGTAGCTAGCTTTCTAGATGGATGTTCAACTTAACAGTCTCCATCGAAACACTGGTATATAAAAGGAATGTGGTTATGAGAACTTCAAACTGCGTACCCTAGAGTTTGGTGGGGATTGTTAGATATTATGGGCTTGGCCCATTTATTTAATATCTCTATTAAACTCTATGGTCCGTACATGTGCATTAATGGTTTTTATACCATATGGGAATTTAATCGAGAGGCGACTCTACTTAAATACTTGATCATTGATCGATCTATTTGAGAAGTAAAAGTGAATCACCTGGATGCCACACGCGCGCGCGCGCCGCCGCCGCCGCCGCCGCCCGGCCCGAGCCCGTGCGCGTGGGCGTGGGCGTGGCGTGGCGTGGCGGCGAGGCAGGCAGGCGGGCGGCGGGCGGCGGCGGCGAGCGAGCGGACGGGCGGGCGAGGCCTTTATTTTTGACACTCAGTTTCCTGTGACGAATTGATTGGAGGAGTTTCTGTTAACTCCCGTGACTTCTGGCTCTCCGTCTCCGTCTCTCCCACCGTAGGGGGGAGGTGTGACCCTTCGGTGCCGTCGGCTTCTCGTCTTCTGGCCTCCGCCTATAAGACAAATCCTCCCCTCTCGGTTAAGCTCTCTTGGCGAAGTACACCACTTTCCAGCAAGCGCAAGTCTTTCCCGCTCCACCTCCGGCGAGCACCAGAGATGGAAGAGTAGGCCTCCGGAACGCGTCTCCGTCGTGGGCTTCATCTGCTCGGGTGAAGACGGGCGATTACGTTTTTGGGGAGTGTCGGTGGTGGCACGACTACTCGCTGGTGAACCTGTAGCGGTGCGTCTTCACGGCGTCCTTATCTGCACTGCATCGAGCGGGACGACTACATCAACAAAGCACCACCATGGCCTTTCCTGGTGCGAGCGGCTCCGCCGCAGGGTATAATCTCCTTCACCCTCTTCTGAGTTTCATTATCAATATCATGATGTTCCTAGGCAATACTACTTTCATATTCAGCATGCTCTGTTTGGTTGATTTGGATGATTATGCTAGTACTGTTTTTCTGGTTCCTTTTAATTTTGTGATCACCATGATCTTGATATTTGAGAACACATCTTTTATATTTATGATCATGTCTGTGAGGCTTCAGCTGAATAAAACAATGTTTCACATATGTTTCGGTTCTATAATTTGCCTTATTATCATGTTAACACTTGTCATGAATTGTTTCTGTCATTTTGTTCATGACGTCACTCTTATTTTTATTGCGTCATTTTTATGGATTAAAATAAATATGAAAATGCCTTATTTATCAACATTCATATGATTGAACCTTTCATTAAGGTATATATAATCTTGTGTTGTTTGCATGATGTAACATAAAAATTTTCTCCTCCTGTGTTAGAATATCATCGATCATTGTCTTCTGCTTTTTTTTTCTGGATTTTGTATAAGTTTTAAACCCATGTAGCTCATTTTTATCTCTGGAATCTGGAGTCTTTTGCTCAGCAAGCTCAGTTCTGGTAGCCTCAATGACCTTTTCAGAGGAAAATCATATAAAAACTAATTTTTTCCCAGAATCTGAATGACGACCACATGTACTGTGCATTTCTTGATGATTTTAATTATTGCATGCTCTATTTCATGAGTTTGTTTTTCCTGATATTGGATGCTTTGGACGGCCTTGAGTTTGCAATGGGAAGTGAGGAGTCAGCGTGGGGTTCTATTAGAGCTGCAATGGAGCATCCAGAACGATTCCCACTGAAGTATGCTGCAATTGGAAACGAAGACTGTCTTAAGGAGTTTTACCAAGGTACATAAAACCATTATCGATTGGCTTTAATATTGAACAGCTAACATGAATGTCCTACTCTGACCCTGATATTATTTAATTCTGCTTAAGTACAAAATTACATCAAATTCTATTATTCTGTACGATCTGTCATTTACATTTTTTTGCGCTGCCCGTGATTCATCCTTGGCCGGATCCGTCGGCTGCATAGTTTGATTTCTCCGCTCCTCATTCAATCTATGCAGTGAATCAGATGCCAAAAAATCTACTTTATCTCCTTTCTTACATTGCCGGCGTGCGCAAGGACGTGCGTGATGGACTAGTCACGCTTCAAAGGACACAGCGTGGGAGCGATGCCGCATCACTAGCGGACCCCACGTGATATTAATTAAAAAAAAAACAAAGCCGACGCTGGTTCCTTCTCTTCCTTGCAGGCTCTCTCTCTCTTCCCTCCATTAAAAAACAAAGATAGCACCAGCGCAACTACTTGCACCACTCTCGATTTTCCCGGAACCAGCACCGCACGCTGTAGCGTTGGAAGTAGCGCTTAAACCTTCTCGCTCCAAACTTGGCACCACTCAAGGCATACGCCTTCCGTGAACCGCGCACGCCCGATGGCACAGCGGCCTTCCCAGCTCCGGCGCCCCTGTGTTGTCCATGCGTCATGAGGCCACGCCCCACGGCACGTGCTACGTCGCGTGATTCCGATGGAGCGGGACGCACGCAGCAGCTAGCGCCGTTTGACGAGTTGCTCCTGGCGGCCACAGATTAATTAATTAAACTAAACACACGCGTAGGACGCCGCCGCAGGTGTTGTCACACGCGCGCCGGCCGGAGATACGGAGGAGTGGAATCGTACAAGCCACGGAAAAAAGGTTGGACTTGCCGGCAGTTAAGCACCTATTATCAGTCCAGACGGCTAGCTGCCAACATATGCATATCTTCGAGACGGTACCCAACAGAACGTCGTATGGTTGCAGGATCGGTCAAGGAATCGAGACAATAAAAAACATTCAACAATCAATCAAGCGTGCCCTGACTGCTGTCAAAGGGTTCACCGAGTATTTACAGATTTTGGTCGTGGGCGGATCCTGTGGGCTGACCACTGAACACCTCTTTCTCCGTTGCGTCTTCAGTCGTCAAGTCTGGTCAAGGTCTCAAGGGATCTGGCATCCTGTTGGTCTCCAGGCACTTGTCCCGGAGTCTGTGATCTGGGCTTGGCCGATTGGTGGTTGCCGTGCCGGAAAAGGATTGTTAAGGAAGAGCGTGCGGGCTTTGATTTTGTCTTCCTTTCATTGCTTGGAGCTTGTGGAAGGGAAGGAACCAAACAGTGTTTGAGTGTTCAGCTTCAGCAGTCATGTCCGCAGAGTTAAGTGCGTCGGACTATAAATGAGGCAATCTCTTCCTGTTGTGTTATGAACATATAGAGTAACAGGATCTGATCTTAACCTATACATGATCACAAATATAATCTTAATGCGGACATTGACCTTATGTACTGAACAAAGCCTTCTTCTTTTTTTTTATGAAGGAAGGATTTTATTAATGCACCGTTATTACATCGAGGTGATACAATAAAAGTGATTTCACTTCCGGCTTCTGCCTAAACACAAAGCCTAAGAGAAAAAAGCCTGACACTCTAATGGCCATCAATTCTAAGACTAGATCGACACCCATGTGTTCGAGAGAAAAACGTCGTAGTCGCTTGCATCAATTGCTGTGATGCCTTCAACACCTAAGCCCGTGCATAGGGCTTTTGGAGGATAACCCATGTACGGAGCCAATGGATTACTGAATAAACCACCTTGCGAGGGATAATAAAGAAGTTTTTCTTCAAAGACTAAATCATTTCTACGCAGCCAAATCGACCAACAAGTAGTTGTTGCACCCAACGTAATTACAGGTTTGAGATCGTTCTGAAATCCTTGAAGCCAACTCCCCAAAAAGATGGTGAATATTATGATGCTAGGGGAGATTTAACGCAACTTGTATGCAATCCCATATTACCCGTGTAAAGCGGCATTCAAAGAAGATATGCTTAATTGTCTCATTCTTGTGACAAAAAAAATAACACTTCTCACTGCCTTGCCAATTGCGTTTTACTAAGGGGAGAATTATCTATTTGGCACTTAAACAAACCAGTCTTTTATATTTGGCAGTAAAAATTTTGAACTTTCTTATCTGGCACCAAGTTGAAATTTTCTTCCGTAAATAGCACTACCATCTATTTTCACCTGTAACCGATGTTAAGTGGCTTGCAAAATAACATAAGTGCCCTTGTTTGTAGTAGGCGTTTGGAGCACGCACGCACATTGCTGCTACTTCTGCACGCATGCTGCTGCTGCTACACAAGGCTGCTTGCTGCGTTCATCATGACCTTGGACTCGTCGAAGCTGAGCACGCCGTCGCCGTCGAAGTAGTAGGCCAGCGCACTCTCGCTGCTAACGGTCGACTCCGGTGAGGAGACGTTGCTGGTGGGCGAGTTGCTACTCCATGCCGGGGTGGTGTCGCCGTCATCGTCACTGCAGGCACTGCCTAGTTCTCTACCAAGACCGCTTGCTAGCTTCCTGCGATCTCCACCATGTGCACCGTAGCTCCTTTCGTCCTTCCCAGCCTCGTCCGCGCAGACATGATGAAGAGGACGACGATGGCCACGACGCACGCGGAGGTTGCTCCTGCCGCGGTGCGATGGTGCGACTATGGTGTGGACGATGACGCCGACATCGACGCGTTGCTTCGGGACATACACGCCGCCGTGCGCCCTCGCGCCCCCGCTGCCGCGGACCTGCCGATGCCGCCTCAGGAGTTTCTTGCGCAGTCTCGGCGACACAACTATCACTACAACTACGAGGACAGCGACTTCCAGGCCGTTCTCCACGGTATTCGGAGCGTTCGGATCCCAGCCGCCGGCTTTGCTTCGATGCCGGTGGATGCTTCTGACGGCTCCCCAAGGACACCAGCAACAGCGGTGGTGCTTGCAGCGCCACTCAGCTACGGCGACGATGCCACCGAGGCCGATGTGGTCACCATCAAGACGTCGCCCAAGATGAAGCAGCCGCCGCAGTACGACTACGACGCCGACATCGACGCCACGTTCCGGACCATGGAGACAGAGGCCATGGAACGTCCCTCGCCAGACTACCTCAGCCATCGACAGGGAGGGGAGATGATGCTGATGGACCGCGCCGACCTCATCGACAAGATGCATCGCTTCTCCACACACTACGACCTCGCCCCGGGAGCGTTCCACCGCGCAGTCTCCTTCGTCGACCAGTTCCTGTCGGCCAAGAAGATCAACCGCGACGAGCGCCAGATTTGCCTCCTCGGCGCCACAGCCGTCTTCGCGGCGGCCAAGTACGAGGACAGGAACACCGTGCTGAAGATCAACTCCGACCACGTCGCCATGTACGCTGGGTGCACCCGAAGCGAGGCTGTCGACCAGGAGCGTGAGCTGGTTGCCGTGCTCGGCTACCGCCTAAGCGGACCCACGGCCTACACGTTCGTCGAGCACTTCATGAGGCACACCCAGGAGGAGGAGGTGGTCAGGGCCTGGCGCATCACCTGGCCGACATGGCGTTGCTAGACTACAGGTATGTGGCGTTCCTGCCATCCGCTATGGCCGCGTCGGCGATCTTGCTGGCGAGGACGGGCCTATACTATTCGACGGCAGTGCTGGTGGATGCAGGCTATACGCTCAAGGAGCTCAGCGACTGCATACAGGCGATATACGACATGCATGAGAACCTGTGGGTGCAGCGACGATGACGGCGACACCACCCCGGCGTGGAGTAGCAACTCGCCCACCAGCGACGTCTCCTCACCGGAGTCGACCGTCAGCAGCGAGAGGGCGCTGGCCTACTACTTCGACGTCGACGGCGTGCTCAGCTTCGACGAGTCCAAGGTCACGATGAACGCAGCAAGCAGCCTTGTGCAGCAGCATGCGTGCGTGCAGAAGTAGCAGCAGCGTGCGTGCATGCTCCAAACGCCTACTACAAACATGGGCACTTACGTCATTTTGCAAACCACTTAATATCGTTATAGGTGAAAATAGACGGTAGTGCTATTTACCGAAGAAAATTTCAACTTGGTGCCAGATAAGAAAGTTCAAAATTTTTAGTGCCAAATATGAAAGATTGATTTGTTTCAGTGCCAAATAGATAATTCTCCCTTTACTAAGTTGTCTTTTGCTAAGATAACCCCCTTCGAAGGTACCGCATAAAAATCTTTATCTTCAGTGGGACCTTTGTTTTCCATATGATTTTGTTTAGGTTTGGGACATCTTGATGGATCAAAGCAGAATATTTTGCAGTTTCGGGTGTCCTATGGTTCCACAGTCGTATTTGGATGACAACGATCCTGCTCTCCAAAGCCAGCTGAATGCTGCATTTCATACAAGTGCTTGGGGTGGACATTCAGGAGTGCTAGTCACCTACATGCGTATGAAACAATATTTTGCCTGGAAATGAAGACGGTTGTCAAAGTCTTGTCCACGCTTGCCTTACTTGTCAACAATCCAAGCCGAATAGTGCCAAGTCTCTAGGGCCGATTTAGCCATGGCTGGTACCCACCATAGCTTGGCAGGTGGTGTCCTTAGATTTCATCGAGGGTCAGCCCTTGTCTGGTAACTTCAACTGCATCTTGGTCATTGTTGATTTGCTCACTAAGTATGGCCATTTTGTACCTCTTTGCCATCCATACACGACAGCAGTGGTGGCCAAGGCCTTCCTGCACAATGTTTACAGACTGCACTGTCTGTCTCAGTCTATAGTCTCTGACTCTGACAGGATCTTTACCAGTCACTTCTAGGCTGAGTTGTTTCATTTGGTCGATGTTCAGTTACAACGTAGCATACCGCCTATCACCCGTAGACGGATCGTTAGACCGAGCGCCTCAACCAATGCCTCAAAACTTACTTGTGTTGTTATGTTCATTCCTGGCCTTCTTCGGTCATTGGCTATCTTCGGTGGAGTTCTGGTATAATTCTAGCTTCCATTCAGCTATTGGACGCTCTCCATTTGAGGCTCTCTATGGTTATTCACCACGCCTGTTGGATATTTATCCCCTCAATACGGCCAATCCAGACGTTTCCAGTTGGGCCACTGATCGTCTCTGGATGGATCAATTGTTGCAGCATCACTTGATCCGTGCAAAGACCCGCATGAAGAAGGCCGATCAACATCATTCTGAACGCAGCTTCGAGGTCAGTGATTTTGTCTTTCTCTCAAACTACAACCATATGTTCAAAGTTTCCTTGCTCCACGAGCTCATCAGAAGCTGGCATTGTGGTTCTTCGGCCCCTTCCGTATCATTGCTCGTGTTGGTTTTGTAGCCTATAAACTGGAATTACCAGACCACTTCTCCATCCACCCCATATTTCATGTTTCTCAGCTCAAGCGCGTAGTGGATGCTGGTCATCAGGTAACACCCACTTATGGCCCTCAATTTATAGAGAGATAGTTATAGCTAGGGACTGGTTCTGCTTTGATTTTGGGCCTTATGGGCTTGTAATTTTGTACATTTGTAAAAATTGCATGTACTCATTATTCTTTCATTAATATAAAAAGAAAAAAAAAATAGGCCGGGGGCTCCCCTGCCGATTCTGTCCAAAAAAAAAAGGTAACACCCACTTTGCCCGGTCCACTGACTTCGCTGTTAAGCTGCACCTAAATAGGTTCTTCAAACGTGCACTGTGGCTCGCTGCGCCGATCGTATTCAACAAATTTTCGTCAAGTGGAACAATCTGCCCTCCTTGCTGGCCACTAAGTTTCCCTAGGCTACTGCTTGCGGTCAATCAGTATTTCAAGACTGTTAGTGGTCCGACAACAAGCCAGGCAATCTGCAGCTACTCAGGCCAGGCGAGCGAGAAGGCCCACGGAGCCCAACGTGCGATACGGTGGAAACGAGTGGACATGCTGAGCGCTTGCATGCGTGGAATTGGGCTATGATGCCCTGTAATACAGTAACTTAAGAGAGGGTGAGACAGAGGGGAACATCATCGTACATGTAAAAACCGAATTCCGTTTCTGCCTAAGCAAGCTGTCCGCCGAACACCTCTGCTTGTCCTCCTCGTTCTTTCTTGCGTTCTATTCCTCCAATTTTCCCTTCCTCAACTAGCCTGTTGCTCACACGATCCTTTGCTTTTTTGTTTAGTTGGAAGAATAAAATAGAATGAAGGGATGTGGTTGGGAACTTGGGACGCCGGACGTGTGAACACTTCGGTTGGTGAGGTTAGCTATTACTTTTCTTTTCTTTTTTTCATTATCTTGTTCACCTCTCTTTGTTAAAAATTAGCCACGAGGCCAAGCAAGGAAGCTCCTGTCCCATGGATTTTCACGGACAGATGGATCCTCCATCTTTATGTCTTGTTCGTTTGATTCCAAAATCAAAGGAATTGGGAGGGAGTTTTGACTTGTAGGGGATTTAATCATCCTTGATCTCTTGGTTTTGGGATGAAACGAACAAAAGGTCACAATATATTTCCGCTGGAGACAGTTAGTTACATGTGTATTGATTCCTACCCAAACACTGTGGGATTGAGGACGGTCCTGTCCTATCCCCATCAGTCTCTCAACCAAAATACACATTCATAAGAGGATAAAGTCAGCTAGCCAATAGTGCACGTGCTTAACTTTAAATGTACACCGTCTATGGACTTGCCCCCACATGCAAGAGGAGATTGGGATAAAATACGTGCAATCATACCTCATAATTAATCTGTCACCAAGTCCTAACAAATTTTGTTATTCATGTGATTTTCAGATTCTTATCTCACAGCTTTCTACATTCCAAACGCCTTCTCTTGTTCCTTTGCTGTGTTTTTTTTTATTTGTCTGTGTTGCTACTGCGTTCCTATTGTTTCCATTCTTTTCTTTGTTCAGCTATTTCATTTCATGATGATTAACAAAAAGCAGCACCTGAGTTCCGAGATGCAAAGGAGCGTGAAAGCTGCTGCTAGCCACATGATGCCATTAATGCCTGCTAGTTAATCAGATCTGTTTAAAACAATTTCAGCCATGTGACCAGGGGCCAAGATCGCCGGACTTTTTTTTTTGAACACGCATTCACGTGAATTTCATTAAGAAGAAGCAAGAGTGCCGAAGGAACGGCGTACACGACGCGACTATGGGATAACCCATAGCGCAGGATAAAAAAACACAGAGCGAGTGGTTTAGAACGAAAAACACAAGTGAAAGCAAGAAGTGCGGCGGGGGAAGGGCCCTCCACCACAACCTAGCTAGCTAGACCTGCAGCTAAAGATAACGACGTGAAGGCTGCCAACAAGGGAGGTGAAGCCTCGGTGGCAAATCATCCACCGGAAAGAACGCAGCAAAATTCACGAGCACAACGCGGCAAAGCATCCGCGGGCTGGTAGCGACTATGGCGGCAAAGCATCCGCCCAGGTAGCAACGATGGCAAAGCATCCGTCGAGTATCCGCAAGCGGCCAGATAGCCGCTGCGAAGAAGATGACCAACGACTGCAAAGCATCCGTCGAGACGACTGCAGCAACACCAACATCCAAGGTGGACAGATCAACGCGAAGAGGAAGCTAAAGCACAGGCAAGCACAACACAACTAGGAGTGGCTCTGGCGAGAGGAACATGACAGCGACAGAAGTGCTCCAACGAAGCCTCCAAGAAGGGAATGACATCCTCATACATCAACAACGTTGAACAGAGAGCACAACAAGGACTTTCGTCCCAGGACCGCCCCAACGACCCGCATTACGAACACATCTTTCGACGAACGCCTTCAAGAAGTTGGATGGCACAGACTGTACCACTGTCGCCGGCCTGAAGCGAGAAGCCGGGCAGAGTTTTCACCCAAGAGCTTGTTCGAACACGGCTGCAAGGGCGATCCTAGCAAAGCAGCGGGCCGACCCGGCACAGGAACATATCACAAAGGCAGGGTCAGGTCCAGCACCAACGGTTCTGGCCAGCGACCCAGGAGGCCGCAGGCCCCGGTCGTCGAAGCATGGCTGGGGCAGCTAGCAGCCGGCCGTAGGCACCCTGCCCCGCCGTAGCCAAACGGCCCCGACGAGAAGAATCGGCCGCAGGCAGCCGCCAGTCGCCATGCTAGCGCACAGCTGGCCGTAGCGCGCCCGCTCCGCCGCTGCCGGCTAGCCAGATTCGACCGCTGCTGTCACCGGCGCCGCCTCTGTCCGCCTGGATGGAGCCACCGGCCGCCGTCGTCGAGGTGAAGGGCAGGGCGCCCCCCAAAAGCCAGATCTGGCCCCAGGGGCCCGGATCCGGCCGGCCACCAGAGGGGGGCTCGACGTGGCAGTGCCAAGGCGTGGACGCGACGGAGCCCCACCCCGCGGCGCATGCAACCACGAGTGGAAGCGCCATGAGTGCGCCCAACCATGTTTTCCAGCGGCATGGCGAGGCCCGCCATAGCAGGCGTACAGGCGGCCCAGACCGCCCCGCCGGCCGGCCGGCCTACCGGAGTAGCAGCGCGACCACACCCGCTGTAGCCGCAGATCCGGGGAGGGGGAGGCCAGATCCGGCCCAGGGGGGCTTGGATCTACCCCGCTCGTCTACCTGCTCGCTGGAGAAGCAGAGGTAGAGGAGGGGAGGTGGAGGAGAGGAGGTAGGAGCAGGGAGAAGGTGGGGGTGCCGCGACGGGGCCGGTTGTGCGGACCGCCGCTGGCCGTCGCCGCGGAACGCCAGGGAGGGCGGCGGCGGCGGCTGTGGAGGGCGCGATGGTGGGGGGGGGGGCGGAGCGGCGCCGGGGTGTCGCCCTGAGTCGCTCAAGGGAGCGCTCGGGGGAAGGGAAGGGAATGGATTCGAAGTCCTCCCACTTCAGTAAGTCAATCCCTCGTGGGTATAAAAAAACAGCCTTGCGTTTTGCCCCCTTCTTTTTGTTATGTTTCTTTCCCCATATATATGACTGAAGATGTGAACTCAGAACATCCAGCATATATCTGCATATGCCGTGTGCTGTATGCGGCGGCCATAGGCGTGGACTTCGTGAAACGAAGAAGCAAAGACTTCAGATCTGGTATAGCTCCAATCCAAATCCTGCACCCCAGTTCGCTCGTTCCATAACCAGGTGCGTTCATGTGTATCTTTTCACTACGAGCTTCAACATTTCTAGTTCAAGTCATTTTGATTATTTGGTCTGCTCCAGTCTATTGAAATCTCTACATCTTGACTGATCGTCAGGTTTAGGTTGTAAGATGGTACATGTTTTCTGAAAGGATATATATGTTTCCATCACAACCAAATTTGTTTTCGTTTAATCTTTTTCCAACATCTCTTCTGGCAAAGCCAGGTAGACTTTCTGATCTGCAAAGTTGGTCTAGAACCTGACAAGATACTGTAAATTTCATCCTCATCCTTTAGGCATGTACTCTATTTTGATCATAGAGAATGAGATGATCCCATCTTTAAATTTTGGAATGAGATGATCTTACTTAAGGTTCTTGGGATAGATCAACCTTATTGTTTGTTTGGTTCGTGGGACTGGGAGGGAGGACATGAACCGGCGGTTAGCCATCCTTTGCCACCTGTGATGTGTGGGACCCGGCTGTTAGCCCCTCATAGAAGAGGAGGAGCTGGACATCTCCAATTCTCCTCCGTGGCAGAGGACCTCAACCTCGAGTAGTCCAGTTCCCACTCCTGCGCGCATGCCGATGAAGGGACGGGGGAGGAGCGCGCGCCGAAGGCGCCAGCCGAGGGGCGCCGGGCGGCCGGGAAGGGGCCGAAGGCGGAGGAGGCGGCGGGGAGGCGCCGCGCAGATGTGGCGGCCGGGGAAGGGGCCGGCGGCGGTGGTGGCGCCGAGGGAAGGGCTCCTCTAATCCTCTTGCTGTAATCCGTAATGCATGCATCCAGCGTCCGTGATTCGCTCAATTCTAATTAGTGCTTGCCAGTTCATTTACCTCTCTTTGTTCGCATTTTTTTTTTGTTTCAGCATTTTATGCACATGTTGGGGTAAACACTTGCGTCTTGTTTGATTCAGGCTTTTGGTCGCATGATTGCCTCCTTAATTGGACAGTCCAGATCACCGAGCTAGAGGGGCTACAGTCTGCAACTCGCTACAAGGTAAAACCAGGCATGCTCTCCCTAATGTACTTTGCACCTTCTTCAATGTAGTTTTCCTTACATAATTATATATATCGCGCTTTACAAGGAAAAAAAAGTATCCCGATTCCATTGCCGTCCCAATTTTCATGGCATACACTAGGAGTGCTATTCTGTTCCATTAAGGGAGCGGGTTAAATTTTATTTCTCTAATTATGGAAATCAGCTGCTCATTTAGGATGGATTACCCACATTTGCAACAAGATGATTTAGAGCCTATACTTTGTGGTGAAAAGAAGCCCGGCAGTCTTGACTTACAACTTCTACGACAAATCACTGGAAATTTCTCTGATGATCGAAGGATTGGTAAGGGTGGGTGCGGACAGGTTTACAAGGTAAAATATTTCTTTTTTCCTTCATTTTCCATTGCTCCTTCAAGTTCCAGTCGGCAGAGCCTGAGATTGGTTTAATGTTCATGACCATCATCAAATTTCAATTTAAACAGGGCATCCTGACAAATGGGGTGGTCGTTGCTGTTAAGAGGCTTTTAAATTGCCATACAATTGATCAAAAGATGTTTCTTTCTGAGGTTGATAGCATGACCAAGGTTGGGCATCCAAATATAGTACGTTTTATAGGTTACTGTTCTGAAACAAAAGAAAAGGCAGTTCAAATGCATGGAAAAACTGTTATGGCAGAGGAACGGGAAAGGTTACTTTGTTTCGAGTATATAAGAAAAGGAAGCCTTGACAACTATCTTACTGGTATGATAAGACCAAAACTTCAGAACAGCTTGTCTTTATGATCCAATTTTTATTTATATTTGAACATCCTTCATATTTCCACTTCCACCTTTACCCTAGGGATGTAGGAAGTATTTTAGGTTCCATATCCTGCTTATTTCTTCTTTACTCCTGCAGACGAA